AAAACTCCAGCTGCAGATATGCTCAGTGAACCTCAATTTGAATAGGTTGACTTCTTAAGTGGAAGAAAGTTTTCCTTCATCAAATACCTAGTTTCCCAGAAATCCTTGTTCTGTTTTCACCGGTAAAACTCCTGTTAATCTAATTGAGGCTGTGACTTCATCCGTGGAGCAGCAACACAAACTGGACCAAACCCTCTTATATATTCTTAAGAAAGAATCTTCTAATGAAGAAGACCAGGACAATTGTATTACTCTTGATTAGGATACAAATTGCATTTAGTTGGTTAGACAGAGCCTAAAAGAATACAACTTTTTGTTATTAAATCAACAAAACAAACAACAAAATACAACTTTTTGTTATTAAATCAACAATGATTTAATCAAACCCAGTTAGGGTCTCATCAATACCATCACTGCCACTGTAAAAAGTTTCCATCTTATCAAGTGACAACAGGCATCTGCATGTCCACACATCCCAGACCACATCCTGCTTACCTCTTCCTTGCTGTAGATGTCAGATTCTCCAGGAGGGGTTGGCACACAAGCACTGGCAAAAATTCGTTTACTTCCAGACTTGGTACTATAGAGATGAGCCACTTCTGGCACCGAGCCTAATATTGGCACATTTAACATGTCAGCCACTGCTAAATCATCTTTGTGGGGAACCCCTCCGATAATGTAGGCATCTCTGCCCTGGATAAGAATTTTTATCCTTTGGATTGTCTTGGGACTGTACTTCAGTTGAGTGGCTAAGCACATGCGATGCTGCTGTATAAAGATAACATTATTCTTGTTAAAAGGTGTTCTTTTCTATTCCATGAACCTAATTTATAATGTTGCACACAATAAATACATTATTAATAGCAGGCTGGGTTATGACCTATCCTGTAGCTTAGCAGTTTAAATTGATAAAAGCTGTTGGGGTGAGGCTCCATAATCGTGCACATCTTTAGTGTGTTGGAAATGGGCTCACTGGGAATAGAACTAATTACTACACATCTGTATTTATTTGATCCATGCGGAATTATCCTTCTGTCAGTCGGCAGAGAGGCTGGTGGCCTTTGGATAATAGTGATTCATCTCAGCAACACTTCTGGCATAGTTTAACTCTAAAGCTCCTAAAAAATCAATACAAAAATGAAGAAAACCCCCTATAGCAGGGAATGCATTTCACCATACAGCTCAGCAGTATTTTAAGCGATTCTCTGAGAATAAAACACTTTGATTTACAAAAGCTTTCACTGATCACATTAAATTACGGGGGATATACATTTCCATTACACAGTAGTTCTGATAGCTACTGTAAACACAACTGTAGAGTACTCAAAGAGAGGGTAGTAGTTTTTTGTTGTTTAAAGTACAAGGGTTTTGACTTTTTGGAAAGAATTTTTCCTTTCTTCTAAAAAAGAAGATCTATTGCTGAACAAGCTGTTCATGACAGATGCTATAACCTCTACATTTAAAATAGGAATATTAGTTATGGCAGGTGAAACCTCAAAAATATTTTCTACAACATGCATGGCCGGCAGATAATCCAATTAATTTTCCAGTGGTATAGACTGCACTGAGGTTGAGACAGATAGCGATGGACACCACGCAGAAACAGCACAACAGACATTCACTGCACGAAGTTTTCCATAAACAAATCATAATTGTAACAAGAACAAAATCTTCACATTAAGATTTCATCTAATTTAGGCTCTACTCAGGAAAGTATTTATTTTCAGGACAGCAGAAATACAGGATTTGCTAGGGAATTCCAGGACTGGAGAACCCAGAATCCTTGGAAGTCCTGGATGCTCCTTCACAAGGACTGAAGAATAAATCCTGATTCCACTACTTGGATGGGGATGATGGTGGATAAAGAGATGGGAGAGTCCCTAAAGTGGACAAAATGAATCCCCTTTGTTAATTCCTCAATGTTTTCTCGTACCAAATACACAGCTCCAAAAAGTGTCTCTGTAAAGGAGTTAAGACACACTGCAAGGACAGCGAGGATCTAAGTCAAGAGAAATAAGATTCTCTTCAAAGTTCTAGTAGGAAAAAGGGGACTCTCAGGAGTATAAGGGCAAAAAGAACAACGAGCAAGTTTCCTGAAGTCTTTTTCCTTCCATCAGATTTAAAACAGAGACTCTTAATGTTCTGACTCATTTGTTTCTCTGGAGCACTGGTATAAAAGCAGCGAGATGGCTCGTTCTGTTGGTCTCCTGGCAGAGTTTTGCCATGTAGAGAACAGGATCAATTTCCAGCCCCGGTCACTTACTCCCTGGGGCCACGAGTGGTGATGTTGGGACGAGATTTGCTTTGTGTCTCTCAATAATGGATTTTAC